CCAAAGTACTCAGTCCAGTAAAAATAGCTCCTTGACTAGTATATCATTAAAAAGAATGGGCTTCTATGTTTCTGAATATTAAGATTTCCCCCCCCTTGATATTATTTTAATGAAGGGTCTGAGGTGAGGTGGTCAAAAATTATTTCTCTTATGATCCAAATTTTTACTTTTCTCTCTCTAAACCACTGGCTATGGGATGATGGTATCTGTGTATGGTTCTGGTCAGGATGCCTTCAGTAAGATATATAATAATGGAGACAGGAAAAGGCAACTACAATGACAAAGGGAAAATAGGAGTTACAAGGAGAGTACAGAAGGAAAACCAAAGGCTCTTAATATTAGAAAGGTGAAGGCAGAGAAAGAATGTGTGATTATTTTCTACGGGATTGTCAAAGCTGTACAAAGGGAAAATGCAGGCCTGGGCATTCAATCCTGGAACTGAAGGACTTTATTCTCAAATGTATAGTTTACATAGTGCAATCACCTTTGACTTCATGAAAAAGCTACTAAATGTTTGAAATTCCTCCAAAAGTAATCGAGGCTGAAAGATATAAATGGATACTCAACAGAACTAGACATATGAATGGCTGATAAATTTCTACAATGGCCTGGTTCTTCCAAAAAACTAAGATGTTATAAAGATGTTATGGTAAGCTCCCCCAGCTTCTGAAGGACTAATCCAGCAGGATAAATATGCCATTCTGCAGCGTGCCCCTTAGCGCCCTGTCAGATGCAGGCTACTGGGCTAGAGGGGCCACAGGACAGACACATTCCTTATGGCATCGCAGAAAAGGTGTGTATTAGTTAAAAAAATAAAAAGTAAAATGAGGATTAGAATGAAACAAGAATGAAACATTAAACATATATGACCAGGAACATTTAACATGAATTTTTTATACCGTAAATAAGTTTGCCTTTTAGCATAGTGAACCCTTTCCATAAATCTGTTTTAGAAGCAAGGTCTCCAGCATGCTTTAGAAAAGCTTTTGTTAAAACTGAAGTATATTGATAAAGTGATTTAATATAGTTGAAAACAAGCTGCAGTACTCTAGCTGGGCCCCCTGAAACCTTGTGTTAGGAAAACATCTATATAGCATTATAGGAGACATTTACTGTAATTTGCCATCAATGTTTAACAATAATAATGTTACACTCCCAACATTGTTGTCTTTGTTAGTGCTCTACTACTGTTTTATTCATGTGGTTTGTTGTGCTTATATGAATTATTCCCAATTCTACCACAATGTCCTGGGCTCTAATATCCTTTAAGTAAAAGATACTGAAACTCTGGGTTGACTCGAAGGGTAGCTGAGTGCATTTTAATATCCACATCTCCTATGAGCCAATATTGGAGAACCACAGAATTAGACTGCAAGACATTGTTCTATCCAAGCTCACCATGATTAGCTGGGTGGGGCTGGTGCGGCTCTTGGTTTGTGGTGCAGTGCCATGAAACAAATGAATCTTTATCTACTGACTGGGTCTGTGAACTAAGTATGAGTGAAACTAAGTAAGTTTAGAATTCAACCTCTTATTCAAGGTCCACAACTGTCATTGCATACATTGCCTGCACTGTAACTAGTTTGCAAGTTAAAAAAAAAAAAGCCAAAAATTAAGCAACACGTGTGCACACACCCCTCCTGTGATGAAAGGAGGTGATAAAAGGTACATTTTGTACGGTTGTTTAACTTTCAGTTCCTAAGGGTACTTGCATGTGTGTGTGCATGCATACGTGTGTGTGTGTGTGTGTGTGTTCTGCGTTAAGGAGGAGGAGGGTGCTTGCTGAACCTAGACCTTTGGTTTTGCAAATCAAAGATTTGCAAATACTCTTAGGGTAGGGATATGCATTTGGCTATATGCATTGAGATCTTTAATCAAGACAGCTGTTACTAAAACAATTGGCTTTGAGGAAAAAATGTTTTTCAAAAGAAAAGGCCCAAAGATGTGTGCTGAGCTAATAGTAAGGAGAGACTGGCTCCTAATCTAAGCTCTGCCTATAGTTAAGTCTATTATGCCAGGCAAGTCACTTAACCTTCTTATGTTTTCCTTTTCAACGTAAAACAAGGCTAACAATTAGCTGCTACAGCATAAAACTGTTATGTGGATAAAAGCCATTAAAGTATTTTGAAATTGTAAATGCTCTCTAAGTACAGACTGTTATTGTTACATACATGTCAAAATCCAAATTTATAAGGCAGGAAACTGGGAATTAATTATTTGAATTACAACAGAATTCTCCACAAGTACTTTAAATGGCAAGTGTGGTTTACAAATTCTACAGACATGCAGTTCAAGCACTTTCCAGGAGTATACCCCTTTTGCAAAAATATGTCTACTTTTACTCAGAATAGCTAATTGTCCTTCCTTAACAGCAGATTTCGAATTCACTGACTTTAGCAATGAGCTAGTCCTACTGAGTTTCACCCAGCATTTGTCAAAGCCTTAGCAACTGAGAAGAGAATGGAGAACAAAGAAATAAAAGGGGGAAGGGAGGGAAAAGTGTGGCAGGAATCTGCCCCTCCCCCCATTTCATCAAGAGAAATGTGGCTCTTATCTGTTTTATATTTGTAATTTCCCGGTAAGATGTAATTTGCAAAGTGTTTCATTGTCCCTCTATGCTGTCTCTTTTCAGCTCATGATAATCCTTATAACACAGAGGCAAATTTGAGGGTGACAAATTCTGCTCCCCTTCAGAGTGTCAGCCTGCAGACTGAAGGGTCCCAGGTTCTATTCTGGCCAGGGGCACATGCTTCAGTTGCAGGCTTGGCCCTCCCTGGTTGGGGCGCGTGCAGGAGGTAGCCAGTAGATGTGTCTCTCTCACATAGATGTCTCCCTCTCTCTCTCGCTCTCTCTCTCCCTCCTTTCCTCCCTTCTACTCGCTCTGAAAAGCAATGGAAAAATATATCCTCAGGTGAGAATTAAAAAAAAAAAAAGAATTATTTAGATCTGAGCTAAAATACAGAACTGAATATGCTCTAATGACAACTGTTGGGGGAGGAAGAAATTTTTCCCGACCCTTCTAGGTTCTTTTGGCTGGTCTAATAATTAAGTCTACATGAGACAAATTAACAAGAGAAAATAAAGAGATTTAATTAATTTGGTATGTATGGGAACCTACATGAGAGGTTCAGAGACAGAAGACAAAACAAGGTATATGACATTCCTTGCTAAGGGAGAGGTAGGATGCCCTGAAGCTTCAGAGGGGAGGAGGGTAATTTGCAGGATGACAAGAAGAGCAGATGTTCAGTAATTAGAAGTTTGCCCTGCCCTACAGATAGGTCATAAAAAGTTATTTCTGGTGATAACTCTTATTATGAGCAAGGCCCCAAATTTAAATTCTCTAAGGGAGAGGTAAAAGTTTCTCTTGAGGCTGCAGGGTCTCAATTGTCTTCAGCTCAAAATGATCCACATGTCCAACTGGCAGCTCTTGGGAAGGCCTGTCTGAAGCCCTTCACAACTATGTGATGACCTTCTGCTGTCTTGCACATTTAATTTTCCTCAAACAGCTAATTCATGATTTTCAGTGTGAATGGCAAGAAGCCCCCAGGCATATGATACGAAGTGGTGGTTCTTGTACTTGCAGATGATATAAAGGAATTGAATAGTAGGAGAGAAGGGAGAAAAAGTCCAAGACCAAGAGTACTGAAAACCCTTTCCTCTGCCACCTGTGACCCTTATACTACCCTCAAACCCTTTCAGCAGCAACAGTAAAATTGTTAGGAAAGGTCAGTCTGGGCTAGAAACAATATTTCTAAATAAAGCAAACTGCATCGTGAATTGAAAACTGAAACAAACCATGTTTTCCTAATCCCTATCATTAATTTTAACTGAGGCATAGACAAAAGCAAAGTTACTTTTTTAAAAGCAAACAAAAACAGAACAATACCCACGAATGATCACCCAAAGAAACTAAAAACACAAGTAATGAGTAGCAAACCCAAACAACTAGAAAATGAAATATTTTATTTGCAACTAGTGAACCAAAATAAAATTTTCTTACCACCCCTATAAAATTGTAAGCTTTCTGAGGGTAGGTTTTGGATCATTCATTCACTCATATGTTTATACAGGGTGTCCCCCCAAAATGTGTACACGCTTTGAATAATAATAAAGGCAGTGTTATTAAAATCATGAAATTAAAATACATTTCATTTTCAGAATTGAGCTACTGGTTGTTAAACTGTGTATACATTTTCTTGGGACACCCTGTATATGATCTAAAAATATTTAGCATAGTGCTAGCTATACATTTTGTTTTCAATTTTTACTTTTTGAATTGAACGTGGCCCAAGTCCCTCTGTACTGAACCCTATTTCAAGAGAAATTATAATACAAACTTCCATCTATTTTCAATGCTTATATATTAATATTAAGATCATTCAATGTGAATAAGGTGTTGGGAGAGCTGGTACTGTGGCATTTATTGTAAATGAGTCAGGCAGTTCAAGCTTATGTGGTTTAAATTTAACAATTCAGTACTCAAAGTGCTCTTTTCTTTTCTTCAACCAGGAAGAATTCATGTCCCCTAACTAGAAAAAATTCATGTTTCCACACTTTGACATAAACATTCACCCTTATATTAAGCATAAGAGGCTTTTTCTTATTATAAACAGAAGAAATTTCCATATACCCTTTGTAAAATGTTATATATAAATGCTGGGCTTGGACACCGAGAACTTAATCAAAATCCCATGTTGCTTCAGGGTAGTTATATGTGAAATGCAATTTCCATTGTATTGAAATCTCCATCCAGTAAATATTTATCTATTTTCAAAATTGCCAACATATTTGAAAAGTTTAATTGGTTTATACTCAAGGCACTAGAGAAAGGAAAATCCGCTTTCAGAAGCCATTTACATGTATTTATTCTGCTCACGTGGAAGACTTCTTTCAAGTGATCAAGAATTTTAATGTGAAGTGAGCCTGTCCCAGATTTGGCTCTAATGACCAAATTAAAAGAGAAGTAATCAATAATCAATGCATCACTTTGATCACTGTACCTTTTTTCTCTGATTTATCGGAAACTTTTCCTCCAATTGGAGAGTAAGTGGTATCCACGGATTCGGTCCCTCTGTTCCCTTTGCTAACTCCGTTTTCATAGAGCTGTCCTTCAACCGGTTGCAACTGCCAAGTCAGGCCGAACAAATGCACTGCTGCAAGAAAAGAAGCCATATGTGAATTTACTCCAGACTCGCTACACAGGTCTCTAAACTGACTGTCCCTTTGCACCTAAAAACATTGTGATCACTGTTCTTATAGTTAGTCCAAGCAACTTGGATTACGTAACTGCATCATACCTGTAGCCACTTTTCTAAGTAGCTGTTAAGATTTTTGAGGATTAGAACTTGGAGTACGAATTAAACAACTACAATGGGATTGGACCCCGCTACTCAGTGCCGTGACCCCTTCCTTTTACATTTCCCTTAGTGGCATGCCTCTGGTTTGCATATGGAAACTGCAGAGTGATGGTGGACAGGCTATTGTGAGAATATGGGAGACCTGCACTATGCCTCGGATTCAATTCAGTTCACCTAATACTTCCTGAGTGCCTAGAAACACAAGGTCTTATGATAGCTGCTGCAGATGTTAAAATCTAGATGCCTATTAAGGTAGGAGTTGGAAGCAATACAAGTATAAAAGAGCTATAATATAATGCAAAATAACTGACATGATACAAGTTCAAATTGCTATCAGAGGATTTAAAAATACTCAGTGTTGATCAGCGTGCAGGAAAAGGGTACTCTCATACACTCTTGATGAGAGCATTTTATTTTTTTATTTTTTGGTTAATCTCCACCCAAGGATATTTTTCCAATGTTAGAGAGAGTGGAAGGGAGGGAGGGAGGGAGGGGAGGAGAGAGAGAGAAAGAGAGAGAGAGAGAGAAAGAGGGAGAGAGAGAGGGAGAG